CACCGAACAGTTGCTTAGAGGCAGATCCTCTTACAAGATCCGCCTCAAGGACGTGATGTCTGCAAGCCATCAAGAGGATCTGTCGATTGAGGAGCGGCTGAAAAGTAGGACATGCTCCTTTGTGGACTCCAGTATTTTATGATGTCGTATCAAATTCATCGGCTATTATTTTATCTGCGAGGCTTCGGTCGTCGAATCTTCTTCACTTTCTCTGCCTCTTGCTAGTTCCTGTAGAGTCACTTGTCTTACAGATTGCAAGTATGTTTACTTTCCTAAATCATCCGAGGTCTGCTAGAAGTTTTCTGTCGAAATTTATCTGTTTGACATTGGAGGAAAAGTCTCCTTTGATCTTTGCTGCTTGCTCTGATCGGACTGAGGCTCTGTGACAACGTGCAGTGGACTTTAAGAGGGATTAACAGCTTCATATCCCCGTGTCTCCACCGAGCAGTGAGATGCAGTGTCTCCTCAAACCGTCACTGAGGGAAAGAAAATAAGATTCTACGTGTGAAAATGAGAGAAAATGTCCAACTTCTATCATGACTGCCAGACTTTGGGGCCGGAGTGATATGTCATATGATCCACCATATACGTCATCAAGTATTTAACATGCAAGCTTGAAGCTTGTGGCGTATAATTAGTGATGTGATCCATGGATTGAACCCCCCCCCCCCCTTTAGCAAGAGCTCCCGTCCTTTATGTGATCTACGAGTCGAGAAGTCAGATCATGTTGACTTCTTAATGTACAGCTATGATTTATAGAATTGACATGTGAACTCTACCCCAGATCTAGCCCATTTCTATGTCAATTAAATTCAATCCATGGATCACATCACTAATTATACGTCACTAATTGGTGACGTGATCTGACCCCTCTTTGGGGGCCGGATCAGTTTCCGGTCCCAAAGTCTCCCGTGGAAATACCAAGGAGACGACAGTAAATTATTAACAAAGCTGATTTATTTTTAATTAAAGATGACCATGCAAAAAGGCTTTTAATTTTAACAACCATGATTTAAGCCAGGCAGGATAGCTTTTAATAGTGAATACCTGATTTCGAGAGATACAACTGCAGCCAAGACCGATATCAAGACGAAGGAACTCCGCAAATTTCTGGCCAAAAATATATCGTCTTTGTTTATTGCAGATCCCCTCCTGAAAGAATAAGTGTTCGTTTAGAATCTATATAAAAACCCATTCATTTGGGCTAATAGCATCGATCGGAACTTTAATAACTGTAATGATATCCCAGTTATTTTTTACTGATCTTCTTTGTAGACTTATCAGAACTTGGGGATAGGGCAAATGAGATTAATAATTCATTGTTTGTGACAGAATAAGCCTATATAATATTTATACTCAGAACTTCTCTGACATACGCTGCGACAATCTGGCTCAATGGTGTGTCCAAAATAAAAAGCATAATTGAACAATCCTAACAGCGGAGAAATGATAATCTTAACAGGAGATAAAAAAGTGGAGACATTAGTCAGTCTGAGAGCAGAATGAGGAAACCGTTACAAGTACCGTGCTATCAACTCAGGTCTGCCTTTTCTGATTTGATGACCATCCTACTACTCACTAAATCGGTATCTCAGCAACGCACCGAACATACTACCTGCCATGATTATTGAGTCTAGAAAACTCTATTCACAGGTTAGTCAGGTAGTGGCTTACATTCTGATGACATCTCTTTTTGGAGGTTTTCCGACTCTCAGACCACCTAGTTGAGTGTGTACCACAACCTGCACCATGCCCAAAAGTCCGGAAGCCCTGGACCTATGTGACAAGCCTGCCCCTGAAAAAAAAACAAATCCTAAGCAGCGTACAGCAGCTAGAGAATATTCTCATAGGGGGGGGGGGGGGGAACGTAGAATAAAGTAGAATAAAGTAGAATAAAGTAGAGTAGAATTCTACGTTGCCCCCCCCCCTCTCATAACAAGAGGGTTACCATCGACTTCTGAGTTCTGGAATCTGGACCAGCTCTGGTCAGTGGGCATAAGTTGGGTCTTATACCAACGTCGTGTCTTATTTTAGAGGGTTGTTGCTTTGCAGATGGCATACTGTGGCGAAGATATTATAGTATTATATCTCGGTCATATGAGAAACCAGAATTCTCATTTTTTTCAGGACAAATGTAATGCGATTGAATTATTTCGATTGGGCACTCAGTGACTGAGCTATTAGGACTTTTGCCCCCCTCCCCCCTGTATATTTATCCTTGCTTGGCGACACAAAATTACACCGAGACTGAAATATCAGACTGACTTATAAGTTGTTACCAGCAACTTTCGATTGAGGCGATATTAATTTGGGCCGGGGTTCAAAGCTTTACTGTACATACATCTTCAAGGGGAACAACTAGTCTTTCAGTTTTCGAATAGTTATTTAATTGCGTAACTGAAGGAAAGATCACTTTACCGTATGCACTTGAAAATTCACGTAACTTATAACTTAGGAACATATCGAAGTTCCGGTGTCGTGTAGAGTGATTTATATCTATTGTGTCAGAATAAAGCTGGCAGACGTGCCAGTACATTATACAAATTCTAAACACTATAATTACAGTTGAATAGAATGTATGATGTTCAGAGCTGCGTATAAGTGTCATCTTAGAATATATGCTATAATTCTGGTTTATTACAGTAGCTGGCATTTGCCGAAAAGATTACAGATTTCAGTAACACACTAACATGTAAATATGCCTGTTTAGAGAGATTTTCTCAAAAACCGTCTCAAATACCAAAGGCAAAACTATTAGTAGCACCATTAGCTTTAAACCCATCTGGGGATAGCACTAATTTATATAATATTATAATATCGAGCAGGAAGGCTCAAGGCGGGAGGGCCAGGGGTTATGTTGTTTTTGCTCACAACATCAGTTATCAGTATGATACGATTCTACGCCTATCGAGAACTGAGATATGGACAGTATGGCGGAGATTCTTGAAAAACCGCCAACTTTAACAAACTAAGGTTTAACTTATAATAGCTTTGCTCGGACATCAAAGCCGAACTAAGTCAAGTATCATTATGGAACCGGATTTAAAGCGAATAGAATCCCACATTTCGCCTTTTAAACAAACAAATAGCATTAATAAGAGCTATTGGTCGATGTTTGCTTCTTCTTAGTAAAATCCCTCACTTTCAAATAGTCCTTAAACCTTGGTGAGCTAAACAAAACACTAGGGACATTATGATGTACGCCTAATCTTCAACTCAAAAGTCACAGTAAACTATTGGGACCAGAATACAGTAGTTTATTTATCTGACCGTAAGGCGTAACACCAAAAGCGGTTCATCCCAGTTTATTGACTAAACCAATTTGTCCGTTTCGCAGTATAGTATAGTACTTTTACTTTCACACTCTCTCACACTCTTTGTTCACTAAATAAGTAAGATTATACGTCACGTACAGTACGTGATCACGTTATGATTGTTAAACCGAGACGATACGTCATAATCATATTAAAAGGAACTGCGGTGCGCGCGCTTAACGTACCTCGAAAAATGTTTGAGCGTGGGTCCTTTTTATTATCTAAAGGTGACATATTTGCTAGTTTTTTAGAAAATTAACCATAATTTGTCCCGTTAATCGTCACTACTTATTACTAAGAGGTGTCACGTCACTAAAAAATTTATTACAAATACACCAAAGGGCCCTGTATAGCTAGACACATTCCCTGACTCGTAATTACACTGACTGTTAACTATATCACGTGACATGCATTCAAACTCTCTTATTTAGACATGCCGTAAACATATTAAGCACCCACTGTATTAACCCAACATTCTCGGGCAGTATCGAGATAGCCCGACCACTGTCCGCGGACAACTGTCCGCGGTCAGTTGTCCGCAGACACCTGTCTACCAGATCATATTACTGTATAATAACAGTATCCCCTGAATCAAGCAGGGTTCACATCATCCCCTGAATCATTGAATCGAGCAGGGTTCACATCATCCCCTGAATCAAGCAGGGTTCACATCATCCCCTGAGTCAAGCAGGGTTCACATCATCGCACGCGAATTTCAATCAGCGGTGGTGTCAAGGCTTATTAAACGATTAAGCAACCTTACGAGATCAGTTCACATCATGCAATATATAAAGAATAACTATTATCAGACTGCATCAATCATTTCTATAATCAACTCCTTCTTGAACAACTACAACTATGGTCTCAGAGAAAACGAAACGGATGAACTCAGCCCTACTCTGCGAACAGCAGTTGTATGAAGGTCTTGAAAGCGAGCTTCTGTCCAGAGAGGATGCTGTCTGTTCTGATATTCTTGTACTTCTTGCAGGGGGAGCAGCGCCATATCAGGCCATCTGGAGACTTCGAGGACGAGGAGGGAACCAGGGACATAGATGCATTACACCCAGAACAGGACATGGAGCTCTTTAGGAGGTTTTTCTGGAATAGGAAGTCTCGAGGGAGGCGGTGGGTCCATTAATGTCGTCCATTAGACAGAAGAGTACCATGTCAGGAATTGGAATAGTTGTTGTTGTTGATGATGGCAACTGATAATACTTCACCAAAACGAACGACTTATATACCACATTTTAATCGTAATCATTTATTTCATTGAGCAATCAATATTATTAGTAACTAATTATATCCGAGAGACCACATTTGAATCTATTTTGAACTATTCACAAACACCTGTTTGCTTGATTCAGGGGATACTGTTATTATACAGTCTGCGGACAACTGTCCGCGGACAGTGGTCGGGCTATCTCGATACTGCCCATTCTCGGAAGTTTTAAACATTTGTGGTTAGGTACTATAATGTTCAAAACGCCCCAGTTTGAAAACTTAATTACTTAGCTGCCCTATCGGTATTCCTTGGTCTACATTATTGTACTAGATTGGATAAATATTACAATTAAAATGACCTTCGGGACGTTATAATATCTCGTAATACCCCTGGTTTCTCACCATGATAACGCCAACCAACAAAATATCAATTTTTCTATTGTTCACCAACCTTCGTTTTGGATAGTTAAGAACACGCTCCTTGCATCTTCTGAAGTTGTGGTGTTGTGCCCTGCGGAATGGGATTATGATAACAACACAAAATTAGGAATATTTTGGAGTGTATCGTATCAGCACATTAATGTAAACTTAAATTTTTTAGAATTGCAGTAATTGTATACATCTGTTGTTATTACACATTTATTTGATAAATATATTATATAGCCAGATTTCTCTGCTTAACATTTAGAAAGAACTAGAGCATATGTGACACTTTCTGTAATGTTGCATCAGTTGATGAGAATCTCGCAAAATCCTGTTAATAGCAGGATTTCTTTAATTAATATCCCGGGAAAGCTAGACATAGTACCACTGGTGTCCTTACTTGAGAATGAAGCAGAAGAGTGTCCCAGGGTGATAATCTTCGAAAACTCGTTGGTTGACTGCGGATATAGATATTTAGAATTCATGCAGGTAAAAATGGTTATTTGCCAGCATATATACAATTAATATGATTGATTGTGCACATACTTAAATAATTCATTTTATGGCCACATGTTTAGCTTATATGGGATATAAAATATTGAAGACTGACATAACCATTTAACTTGTTCATACTTAAACTTGTTAAACTGTTGTTTAAAAATTTCTTTTTGTGCCGGGTTATCAGCATTTAAACCATCTACCGACTTAACTAAAGTTAACTGTGTACGGAACTCATTATTTACCAATTACCAGTGACATTTTCTTAATTTCAGGCACTCAAAAAGGATCCGAGGAAAATTAGTCTTGTTGAAGTATTTCACTCCCAGATACCAGACAGTAAACAGGAAGAAATAGCGGCTGATCTAATGAATATCAATTGGCGTATCAAATTCGTCATAGCTACAAGTGCCTTATCTATGGGATTTGATGCAGCAGGTATGTACTATGTTTGGCACCAAGTATATCGAAGACTATTTTAAACACCTTTTAAACAGTCTATTTCAAACAAATGGATTCTCTGTGTTAAACACGGTTAATAGTAAATTTGATAAAAATGTATATTCTTTAGGGATCCAATACGTCATCCATTCGAAAATGGCTCGTACGGCAGAGGATTTCATCCAGATGATTGGTGGGTAATGTGAAACAATTAAGTTATTTGTAATAATTTTATAGAGCGCTCTGCACATATACCTCTATTAAAGGTTTAACGAGCTTAATTGTCTTAAACGTTGCTTTTTAATCTCAGGTCGGGCTGGGAGAAGTGCAAATCTAAAGGCGATATGTATTGTATTTACGCACAACAAGACCAGGGATATGGACGGAGAGTGTCTTATGTACCGCGACCAGAATGGAACTTGCCGTAGGATAATACTTTCTGGTACCTTTAAAGGTAAAACAGCTCCACGTAGTCCTACAATTGAAAAAGTAATTCAATATCCTTTATTAGTTGGCAAATACTTTAAGTTCTCCAACGGCATTTGAAATCACAAATTTTAGCCATTTCAATGCGATGACATAAATGTCATCAGGGGTACTCAAGCTGCATGACAACGTTTATAACGATACTTGCTGCGATGTTTGCAGACCTTCCCAAGACCCACTCATTCAAAGACTCCGGGAACGGAATAACAAGCAGAGGAGGTCGGATGTAGACATGCGTGAGTACTGAGTACTTAGTACCGAATGTTTTAAATCACATGTAATATTTGTAACGTTCATGCCTAAACTGTGCTTTTTTGCTTTTATCGAAAAGTAATGATAACAACAACAACAATTTAACTTTGTGCTCCTGCGAGTGGTGAAGAATCAGCAATATCAGTCATAATATTTCCAGAACCTAGACGCACAGTGACGAAAGAAGATAGGGAGTTCTTTGCAAAAGCGTTAGCATGCCAGCTGACGTCCTATAGTGACAACAGACCCTTTCTGGACTGTAAACTCACGGAAGGAGTCATTAAACTTCTCACAAATGAATGCGGACATATTTTTAATTTGGAAGATATTGAAGGAATCGTGCCAGGACTGAGTGACAGGGTGAAGAGGGACATACTAGTTATAACTAACGATATATTTTAAGTAACCTCGTCTCAATTTTCGTTTATCGCAAAATAGCGGAGACCTAATCATGAGTCAACCGGTGAATTACACATTTGTTTGGATATATTATAGATTATTATTATTATTATAAATCATATGTTCAAATTGAATGTATACTTACTTAATGGTAATTAATTAAATAAGACATTTTGGAGAAACTATTTAGATTGAGGATTTTAGATTAAGTTCAAATAATATATTAAATCTTGTATGCTCAAATACGTTGAGCCCAAATTCTGCACAGTACGTTTTTTACAGTGTTATTAAAGTCTATTTCTGGCAACAGGGGTATGGATCCTTTGTTTACCTTTGATACATTTTCAGTTCGGTCCATAAATTAAAACTTGATTACTACCTTGAGTTAACATATTTGTGTAATGTATAGTGTATACTGCACTGTATATTATATAAATATAATACAATTGATTAATATAGAAGATTTCAATAGAAAAAGGTTCAGATATTTAAATAAGAAAGAAATGTGTTATAATTCTTAAATTCGTAAAATTATGAACTTACATAGTGTTGTGACAGTAAGCGGAGTAGTCTAGAAGCTTTCTTGAGGTTTTCTTGTGTCTACTGTACTCGTTGAACAGAATTCAGCTGAAATAGAAAGAGGGTTAAACTGAGTAGAATAATAATGCGTTGATAAAGACGTTGATAGTTGATAAACCTGATTGTTCCACTGTACAAATATGCAAAAACATACATTTTGACGACGGAATCTCGTCGAACCATAGTAAATACAGTTATATGCCATCTGCAAAGCTACAGTAAAATGTAAAACACGGCGGAGCTATTGAGGCCAACGTATACCAACTGATGTTTGGCCCGCCCTTATTATATACATTCATCAAGTACCAACTCACGATAAACAACGCGACTAAATGATCACAATATTTAACTATGAAGTGGACACCTTATTCGCCCGGAATATAGTTGTTGAATGTACGGGGCAGATTTAAGCGCCAAATATTGCGTGTAAATAATTGTATGTACATTATATGACACACCTTGGTAAAGCGGATTAGTTAGTATGCTTGCTTATAGCCTTTTATGAACGATATTCCACTCATGTCCTGTTTACGTCTGTAACTATGGCGACGGGGACGGGTTACTAAGGAGAATTATGCAATTATATCATATATGAAGGAGAAGGTTGGACAGTGTTGCCAAGTTGGGATGGGTTTAGATGTTAGAGTGATTACAACGATTTTAGGATCAAGTTCATTTTTATTCATTTCGTTCATTTCATGAACCAAGGGATTATTTGGCACTTCTGAGAGACTGAACATGTTAGTTCACATGCCCATTGCCCCTCTACCATAACAGATCAATTTTAAGTCAGTCCAGGCATAACTACTGCCCAAAAGCCTGTTCCAAATTTGTCTCAATCCAGTTCCAAAATCTCAACTACTCTGAAACCAAAATGGGACATTGCCCTTAGAGCCCTTTCTGAGCATGCTAGAGCCTCCAAACTTTTCAGGAATACTCCTAGTATCAATACCAATCGATTCTGATTGATTTCAACTCATTTCAGGCGATTTTATGGAAAGTTCATTTTTGTTCATTTCGTTCATTTCATGAACCAGGGGATCATTTGCCACTTCTGATCAGTGACTGAACATGTTAGTTCCCATGCCCCTTATACCAGATCAATTTTAAGTCAGTCCAGGCATAACTACTGCCCCAAAAGCCTGTTCCAAATTTGTCTCAATTCTGTCTTACTGTTCCAAAATATCGGATTCATGAACTCTTAGGTTTACTATTCTGTGTGTGTGTGTGTGTGACTGTGAGTGTAACCACTATAATTAGCATTGCTTCGATTGAAGCACGGTTAGAGCCGCGCGCACGTGTAGACGGTGGAGTTACTGGGCACAGTAACCCTCAGACTGGGTGGCGCCCAGCCTTTCATTTCACCGAATGTCTATGTTAATGATAATTATAGCCTGGGGTCGCCAGTAACAGGAAAGTGTGGAGTATTGGTTATATGTGTGAGTAAGGGCCAATTGTAAACATGTAGGTGGACAAATATTTGTTATGACTAACGATATAATCTGCCGTACACATTAAGAGATTGTAACAATTACCCTCAATTTAACATGTTACCTGATTAAGAGATAATCTATGCTATGTATAGGTCACGTTCCCTGATTTCTAAAGCCGCTCTCAATTACTATCTGTAATTTGACCCTGGAAATGTAACTAATTGAACAAATGGCAGATAATATTAATGATAAAATATAATATCGAGCTTGGAGGGGTTAATCAAAAGAAGCTATCAAATAAAGTGAATTGTTAAATGAATGTACTTAATTTAAAAAATAAAATAACAACCTTTATCCTATAAGTATAATATAATATGAAGATCGTCGAGCTTTGAGAACTGAGAAGTGAAGAAGTCTACCATCTTGCAGATGAAACTATATGAAACACAATCGAGTTTATGAATTAATTCTTCGATTTATCGATCCGCTCGTCTTAATATTATCTCTCTATCTAAAATTATCGAGTTAAGGTTTAAAAAGCAACTGTCGAAATTGTAAGTATTTCATGATAAATCATAGCTCAAGATGGCTAATCTAGTTATTCTAGCCGCCACATTAACAAATACTTAATACTTATTCATGGCAAACTCTAAACAAATAAATTGAATATTCGCATAAAATCGGAACTTTTGTCTTAGTATTATATTATATCGCTAAAACGATTAATCTGAACTTATAAAAATACGTGAGAGTCAATTTCTTACCTTGAGCGAGTCCTTCGCAATTGACGGAAGCAATCATCTCGAAGAGGGAGGGAATGGAATTCAGCTAAAATAGAAAGAGAGTTAAACTAAGTAGAATAATTATGCGCAGCTGCGTTGATAAAGACGTTGATACTTAATAAACCTGATAGTTCCACTGTGCAAATATGCAAAACCATAAATTTCGACGACGGAATCTCGTCGAACCATTTACCATGGTAAAAACAGTTATATGGCATTACATCTGCAAAGCTACAGTTCTAAAATGTAAAACACGGCGGAGCAATTGAGGCCAACATATACCCACTGACTTTTGGACCACTACACCCTATACATGTATAAAGTACCAACTCACGATAAATTATATCATATAGCAAGGTTAAGGCTATGTAATTTACCTAGAAAAATTTCTCAGTGAGACAGAGGAAACTATATCATGTTGTTGAGGACAGCTTCGCAGTTATATATTAATATGAAGGAGAAGGTTAGACAGTATAGCCAAGTTGGGCTGGGTTTAGAGTGATTATGACGATTTTACCGTCGAAGCTTGTTACATCTTTATACTCTCACCAGCATGGCAGCATGTGCAGTTACATCTAAAATGACTGCGTATATCGTTAAATTTATAGTTAAAGACAAGTTAAGGCCGGTACGCGTACGGTACCTTTGAAATAAATGAGACAACTGAAAACAATAAAGCTAGCAGTAAAAACATCGCTGCTGATATAAGCTACGTCATAAACCGCTAATGATAATGGTACTGAATTATTATGGTTAATTTGACACGGCAACTCGTGTATGTTCTACTTGAGACTGTCTCCGTGGTAACCAGAGTTTGAAATATTCAGATTCATCTTATATTATGCGGAAGGAGCTATCACACTCACCAGTCACCATTCTATAAGTATTAACCACATGTACACGCTATTACATTTTAATTGATCTCAAATAGTTTACACAGGGCGGTTGCCTTTTTTCCATTCAATCCTTATATAGCGAATCCGGAATCAGGGTAGAATAATAATGAACAGTGCGTTGATAAAGACGCTGATAAACCTGATTGGCCCACTACTATACATTCATCAAGTGCCAACTCACGATAAACAACGCGATCATTGATCACAACATAATATTATGTAACTATATAGTGGACACCTTATTCGGGATATATTTGTTGAATGTACAGGGGAAGATTTAAGGGCCAAACATTGAGAATGAGTGTAAACAAATGTGTACCTGAGAAAAATGTTCTGAGTGAGACTGACGAAAACTATATTATGTTATTGAGGACAGCTTTGTAGTAATATGAAGAAGAAGGTTGGACAGTGTTACCAAGTAAGGCTTGGAGTGATAATAACGATTTTACCGTAGAAGATTGTCATAAATAGCATACGTAAGGGTAACAAAGTAACAAGATTTACAACAGTTTCAAGAATTAAAATAGCAAATTATATAAAAGTGTCAAACAGTATAATTATATAAAATAAATTTAGTCAAGTGTTGCAATTGGCAGAGTACATTACAGACTACAGAGCTGAGGTAACGGAAATCGTCCACTGCTACTTATATTATATCTAACATGAAATGGCAAATAAGAATGTGAAATTAAAATTTCGATTTCGATTGAACAGTAGTTTGAATTAAACAGTTGTTCGCCTAGAATTTGAGAAAAAGAACAGATGTGAGGATTAACGAGAATTTTTAAGTGTGTACGCAATTGCATGTTAAACTCCATGATTTTATATTTGGCAGTTTAAGATGGATAGATGAAGCCAAAATGAGGACGACAATGCGAGACTTTCAATAAAGAAATTACCAATATCCTATGACACCATGACATGACACCATATAAATTGTGTCAAAGAGCATTGAGCACGACTAAGGTCCCGGGTGAATGTCAACCTAATCAGGTATGAGGTAATGAGAAATAATGCTAGCTCTATGCCTTATTCTTTCTCAGAATCAGTAACACTATCTATATATATAGTGCAACTTAATGATCAGGCTTTCCGATATAAGATATTTACCGGCAACTTTCTTAAACAATAATCACACATTGATTTATTTAGTCTATCGGTCAGAGAACAGAAAACAGGGATGTGCTACTTAAAACACACGAAATAACTGGGACCAGTGCAAATACGTAAAGTCATATTTTACCTGATTGTTAGTAGAGTCAGTTTAATTTACTCCATGTCTAATGTCTATGATAACTAGGATGAAGGATGCTTCGTTATAAAGTAAATCGTAGACGTGATTGCATTGACACTGACAGATGTACCAATAACCAAAGGTTCAAATAATCAAAAGTGAGCTAATATGTTCTTCGCAGATGGATGAATAGAGAACTAAGTGCTGCAGATTGATCATTAAATATCACAAAAGAGCGACACTAATGACTAAAAGCATTGTAAACTAACATGGTACGATAGCATGATACGATAGCACACTAGTTAGACCAAGACAAAATAGATGAAATTGCAAAAGTGAAACGGAAAATAAAAGCCAACACCACGTATAGCAAGATAATAATGTTAATTATAACGAGGATCGAGAGGTACTGAGGTAGTCATGACAATCGCAGTTTGCTAAAAACGTCGGTGAATAGTATTCTATGTCATAAACAGCCAATGATCAGCTGCTATAATAGTACGGTTTATTTTACACGGTGACTCGTTCTACTTGAAACTGTCTCAATGGTAACAGAGTTTAAAATGTTCTTACTCTTAGTCTTAGTCTTACAGGAGATCTACACGGTGAATGTAAGTGGGTCTGGGAATCTATGGCGTAAGACTCTACGGTGGAAAACTTTACGGTGGCGCCGTACAAAAACAACAGGTGTAAAAAACAGGACTATTAGGTGGCAAAGTCTATAATCAGGCATGAGATAGTAAGATAAAGAACTTAAGAAATAATGCGAGCAAACAAATGTTATATTTTTTTATCGATATTGATAAATTGGCAGGTGTCCCTCATTAAATTTATGAGTTACAGGAGTTGCAAGAGTGGCAAATTCGAATTCGAAACAATAAATTTGGATTAAACAGTTGTTTGCCTAAAATTTGTGACAAAGAACAGGCAAGGGGATATACAAGGATTTCTAAAGTTATGATATTACACGATATAAATTGTGTCAGTGGTCACATAAGCCTGTCCTATCCCAGGTAAATATCAATATATAATCAGGTACTAGATAGTAAGAAATAATGCGAGCTCTCAGCATATATCTCAGAGTCAGTATCACTATCGAAATATATTGTGGATTGTACGACTGAAAGATGAAGTTTATTAAATTCCGAGACAAAATATTTAACGGCAGCTTCCTGAGAACAGAACACGGGGATTTGAAACTTAAAACACACGAGATAGCCGGAACCAGTACAAATAAGTGAAGCTATATTTTAACTAATTATTCTTAGAAGACTGTTTATGGTTTAGTTGACTCTGAGATCAAACCTTCACTACAAGAGGCTTCGTCATAAAAGTAAAAGTTGAAAGTATACGTGATCCGGATGCAATAACAGATATATTAAACGTTCAAATCATTTTACACCTACGCTAAAAACTTGTCCACCAACACTGTACAAACTACAAAAACATTTGATTGGCAGACGGATAGATAAAGAACGAATTATGAACTATAGACCACAGAATGATCGTTGAATATCATAAAAGAACGGCACATGTGCACAACACACAAAGGCGATATGAACTGATATGGAAGTTAGACCTAGGCAAAATTGAAAGAATCGCACTAACTGGGCCGCGCTCAGCCTGTCATTCCGCCTAATCTCTATTAATGAACATAATAGCCTGGGGTCCTCAGGTAAAAGCAAGCACTGATAACAGAAACAAAGAATCATATTTCACTTGTGTTGTTCCGTTGACCAAAACAAGTGCTAACAGACTAGATGGTTGATGAAATAAGCCTCTTGACTCCCATTGTGTGAAATTACTAACACTAGCAGTAACCGGTGTTTCTTTAAGGTGGGGTCAAGAGAGACAGACAATAACACACGGAATTAAAGAGGAATTAAAGAGGAATTAAAGAGGAATTAAAGAGGAATTAAAGAGGAATTAAAGAGGAATTAAAGAGGAATTAAAGAGGAATTAAAGAGGAATTAAAGAGGAATTAAAGAGGAATTAAAGAGGAATTAAACATGAAATTACCAAGGAGAACACTAACGAACTCGTCTTGGCTATACATCAATTAGAAAATGTTATTTATTAAATTTGAGATTTTTACACAACTTGGCCCATTTAGATGAGCTATACAATACTCTGTAAAAGATAACATAATATAGAATATAATTGTCTGGGAGGATGACTGTAAAATTTGGGGAAAAAATTATCCTGTGGTTAAACAAAGCACAGATACTAACAGAAACAAATCAAACGTTTGGTTCGATCCACACTACTGATATGTAAGATCAGACACAGCAAATTATGACGCTCTCAAAGCATTTCACAATAAAGGATAATTTATATAGATAAATTATTAACAGGAAAATTGTTTTAATTTTGGTTCATCGAATGTTTTATATCAGATGTTGATTTCTTAAAGATAGGTGTATATTTTTGCTATTATTTCTATGAAAGGGGAGGTACGGATAAAGTACCAAACCTATTGTGAATATTTGGTTGCAACTCCGGTAAATGATGAAACATGTCTCTTATGAGAGTGATACCGTGAGTTGCTTCCTTTTTTTAAAAATTAATTTATATAGATTAACTCCCGATTTCAATTCAGGGAGACTAATCTATTCTTGCAAAAATGTTAAAACAAACTAAATATTTTACAACATCTAGGATTAAGGACAAAGTGACTAATATAGAGTACGAGAACACATGATTTCCATCACAATGCGATCTATTAAATAAGTAATAACTAGGATTAAATATCTTAATCCATCATCAAAGATTGTACAGTATGAATATCAGACCATTAAAGCGTTTTTCTACGATCCTATTCAGAATTTTGACACTAACTGTAAAGGAAAAAGGTGCAGGGCAGAACTAATCTATAGATCACATCTAAGAGATTTCTTTCGATCACAGGCCTTCTTTGAAAACGACAAAAAGTAGCCGGGCCCGAACAGGCAGTCCGAAAGAAATAAAAACTACAAACAGACAGTATAATGGTCAACATCAATCTGACATATTTTGTTCCTTCTGAACCCTGAACCTCTTGATTTGGATTTAAGTAACACGATCTTAGTT